TTGTTTAACTAAAATACTGCCTACAAGAAAATACTGTCACCAAATAACACCAACAATATATATATATATATATATATATATATATATACATTACATAATACAACCAAAAAAAGATAAAAAGTATTATAATAATACTTTGTGATTATAGTATGACTTAGGTGGATTTATGTAATATATATTGTAAAACATTTAATTTCATCACAAAAACATTATTTTTTAGGCTAATACAATGTTTTTATGTTGATAAATTAACAAGATTAATTGCCTTGTCCTCTGTATTAAAAAGAAGTATGTTAATTTAAGCCATTAAAGAGTTCAGATTATAATTTTTGTTCTTTTTTTTATACTAACTTCTATGCCAAACATATTTATATATAAATAGAAGGTTGATATTAGGTTGAAATACTAATGGAACATTGATATACTTGTTAATTTGTGACAGTTTTGGTGGGATACCTTGTTAATTGTAAACCCTACACATATAGTGTTTCAAAATATATCGTATGTATAAGGAAGATCTCGCTTTAATAAGCTATTTTATTATTTAGTCATGTATCTTGCAGTAAAATCTCAGTTGATATATTTTGTGTATTCTATGTTAATGTTGTATCTAAAAAATGAACTTGAGAAGAAAAGTTTGTATATCTATATTTCAATCAAACTTGGTTTTAATATTAATTATTGTCACATACAGAAATGCATATACTTATTTTTTTATATGTGCTCCTCATTGTTAGTTTTTACTAATTATATAGAAATTTTAAAATTATCCATGGAATCTTACAGCGAGAGACTAACTTTCTTTAAAAGAAATATCAAAAAATGGAATGCCTTTTTTGTTTACCAACTGAACACAAACAAATGATACAACTATATGCATAATTTATTGCATAACTAGTTACAATTTTGTTTCCAATGTTTTTGTTTTACTAAGCTACATTCAATTAAAAGTGAAAAGTCAAGATTTTTTTCTTTTCACAAGTAAAACAATTTAATCTTTATGTTTTATGCTTAGACATAGTAGTATTTTGGCTACTAACCTAAGACAACCTTGTTACCTTACTGGTACTGTATAATATACTACATCTATATACCTGTTTATGTTTTGTGTTTAGCAAGTTGCATATATGCCAACATTTATTCTTCATTTGGAAATAATTCATTTTAAAGAACAACCTGTGATTTCAGTTTCAGTTTGTCTGAAGTTCACATACACACCTGGTTATCCAGATGAGGAACCACTAATTGAAATTGAAAATTGTGAAAACTTGGAAGAAGATGATTCAAAAGAACTTTTAAAGTTTCTCCAAAATGAGGTTGAAATTTGAAATTTATTTGTATGTATGTTGGTTATTATCATTAGATAATACATGTAGTGAATAGTATAAACCAACCAATTTTAGGCAGATTTCTGTCAATAGAAATCATAAATTTTGTAGGGTTGAAAGTTTGAAATGTTTTTGACCAAATTATTTGTAACTTGCTTCAAAGAAGTCTGTTGTAATCTAATTTCTGTTTTCATTTAGGTCTAATCCTTTGTTTTTAGATGGGAGTTTCCATAATTCACTATAAGCCAGTGCCGAAACTTAGCATAATTTTATAGTTTTTAGCTATTTTATACTTCAGAAAATTTTAGCTCATTCTCTGCTTTTCTTACATATCTTGGAAAACTTGAAAAGAGACTGTGACTGTGAATTGTTAGTTAAATGAAAATGGTGCATGTGCAAAAAAGGTGTAGAAAATAGGTGATTCTGATACAGTACATTACCTCTTCTCATAAATAACTACTCTCATTAAGTGCTGCCCTCTATATGCAATTTTTATTTGCATGCCACAACCCTTGAGCTCCCACGTACCCCAAAATCAATGTCATTCAACTGTGTCTCGCATGCAAATCATTCATGCCACAACCCCCCACCAATAAGAGTGTGACACACCCTCCTGATGCATATGACTCCCTCTATTCAATTGTGATGAGCTATCACTTCTCGTTTTGGCAGTGCTATTGTCAAGATGTTTTTGTTTTGAAATTTCTTATGAAGTGGAGATATTTGAAATTTCTTCTACTTCACTTTAGCTGTTTTAAGTGATGAGATACCTTTATTGTTCTTCACTTTTTTTTTGCCGAAGCTTATGTTTCCACTTTGAAAATGTTATCATTTACTTGCAACACAATTACCTAGGCTTCAGGTGGCAGTACTCGACTGAGGAATTGTTAGCTTGAATACATTCGGAGATTGATTGTTATATGAGTTGTCCTTCGTAGGGCCTCGAGTTTGGTGGCCCACACATTTGGATCTTTCGACTTTGAACAGATAAGCTGTTATACTGTCGAACTTTTTGAATATTTTGATGTTAATATTATTATTTGTAGTTATTCGGTTTCAATAACATATATTTAGTTACATTGTATCTACTTCTTGAAAGGTTAAGGTTTTTTTAATTAATGTTTAGTGATATCCTTTTGTACTACAATGTTAGTTTAGGTTTAACATGCGTCTTTTTAATTTTAGGCTTAACTGTCATTTATCTAACTGGTAAATCATAAATTTCGTTAACTATATTGTTTCTTTTCAACAAGTACCATCTACTAAATTTTATTGTCAATATACATGTACTTAATTTTACAATGTAACAACTTTTCATTTTTGTAATTAATTATATTTTATACTTCCTACAATTAATTTCGTTTTTGAGGACCCTTTAGTCCATGGTCTGCCCAACCTTCTCCCACTATTGCTCACCTTCATCCTCAAACTGCTGGGCCTTCTTGTCTCTCTTTTGAGAAATGGTGCTGGCATGCCTCACCCTCCATGAGCTTTGGTTCATTTTGACTTAGCTTACCATTAGGCAGATTGTTTTTTTTTTTGTTGTTGTTTGTTTTCTTGCATCTCTGCACGTCGAATCTCTGTTGCCTGAATGGGGGGCAGAATCTGTTAATTTTATCCCTTTCTCTCTAGCCAAATTTTCCAACCTTCATCTTCTCCTATCACCTCTACTACTGGTATTGGCCACCATACACATCCTTTCTAAGGCTTAACAGTTATAATTTCCATGACCACTAAACTCACACTGTTGAGATGGGGTGTTTCACAAGATCGCTTATAGGTTTTCCTCATAATATACACTTGGTGTATATAGGTGGTATCTTAATCAAAAGGTAAGCTAGTATAAAAGAGAATGGTTCCATTGCCATATTTAAACAAAAATATAAGAAACATTATTCTTGTTTTTCTTACTACTAGGCCCAGGAGAACTTGGGAATGGTGATGGTTTTTACTCTAGTATCAGCAGCACTAGAGTGGCTAAATCAACGAGGAGAGGAAAATGTAAAAAAGAAACAAGAGGAGGAAGAAAAGAGAAAACGACAAGAAGAGGAGGAGGAGCAGGTAATATATAATATTCTTGTTCTTCATGAAAATTATTTAATATTTATTTTACCTTTTAACTCAACTGTTTTAATGTGTGTGTTTATCATTCTAGTATAGAATATATTATCTTTTTCATTTGAAAGATGCAACAAATTGCAGTAAGCCTTTACTCTCTTTTTTAGCTGTATGAGTATCACACAAGCCAAAGTGCTGTGTGATCAAGGGTCTTGGACTTGATTCTTCTCTCTTTTGTCTCATCTTTTTTTCGATCTGTAGTCTTTGTTTCTTTCTTATGATATTCATGATATATTACTTGTGTTTATGGCATATTCCTTGTCAATCCAATCTTACTGCTTTTTTTTTTTGTTTAACCTTGGGTATTATGTCCATTTCCTTTGGACAGCTGGCCATAAAACTTCATCAGTGTATCTATGATTATGTAATTTTACTTCATTTAAATAAAGATTTCTGTTATCTCAATCTATTATTCTTAAAAACTTGTAACACTGCAGTAAACAATTTAGGAAATATAGTATCTCCCTGTCTGACTGCTTGAATAATATACATGCTGTCTGTTTTATCATCATTTATAAGAATTTTGTCATTGGCATTGTAATTAATTTATTTTACAATCTGTTAGATTTATATATGTATGAGTATTGTATGTCTTGAGACAATGCATTCTGTAGCAAATCTTTTTCTACAGAATTAAAAGTTTTTTTTCATAGTCTCTAAACATTATACATAATCATAAATGGTATTTGATATTTATTTATTATTTATCTGATTGATAGCCTGTAGTTGGTCAATGGTGGTGTAATATACTATGAATTCAGTTCTATGTGTTAAAATTCATTTTGTAAATACTTTGTGCATGTGAGACAATAATCAATACATATACCATAATTTTGTCAAGGTCAGACACCTTTCTGTTTTTTATGGATCTAATCCTTCATTCTTTTCTTGAATACTTTTTTTTTCTCATGATATCCACACTTCTAACTTTTTCAATATTTCTTGTTTATCAAATAGCATTTCTCAAGTATTTTCATTAACAGCTGTTATATTTTCTTTATCATTGCTCATTGCACCTTTTTAAAGCTCTAATACTATTACTACTTGGTAGGTATTTGGGAGTTTGGTTCTGTGGTGTTTGGAAATCAAACAATTCACCTGCACCCATAGCTTTTGTTTTCCTCAATTAATCTGATCTGTATTATCTGTAATATCAGATTTTGCTACCTTTTTTTTTAGTTTTTAATAACCATGTATTCTATTCTGAGTTAACTGAACCTTTGTCATATCTTATCATTTCCACCATTAACATTTTTATTTTTTGTGATCATTTTCCCTGTTTGTTGTTCTTTACTTTTCATGTTACTTCATTTGTTAACTCATGAGGTTTCATTGTCTACATTGTCCATAGATTTACAATCTTTTTCATCTATATCAAATCTATTTTGAAGCTTCATCTTAATTTCATTTGATTTATTTATCAAAATTTCCAAGTTGACTTTATTCTTTCTTTGACATTTTTCACTTTTACAATGCTTCTGGCAAGTCATCACTCAATCATAGATTGTAAGTGCATTTTGCATAACACTGGATACTTCCGTTTCTAACATTCAAACGCTCTTTTTATGTGCTTGTAGGGGCATAGAGCAGACATGCACATTTTCGTCATTATAGTCTTACAATGATAATATTTGGGCAATTTATATTTCTTTTTAAACTTCATGATATTCATGTGTTTCTTCTATGGTAGAATAAAGCTCTGAAATTTGATTTTCAGAAGTAAGTAAAAAAAAGTTGGAAATGGAAAATATATATATATTGCACTATTTGTTTAATTTTCATTTGATTAGAAATTATACTTTGAAAATATTTTTATGCATTACTGAAGTAATATAAAATAGAATAAAGATTAAAATTTTGTAGTAGGTAAAACTACAAGCTGGGAAACTTTTTTTATTATCATGTAGTAAAAGATGTATACGTTAATTTGAGATATTTAAATGAATCAGTGTTATTTGTTTTTAAAACAAAATCTATAGCAGTTTTTCTTTTAACTATAATGAAAATATCTGTTAATAAAAATAAGTCATTCTTTACAATAACTATAACTAAAAAATCTTGGTAAATGGTAATGAAATAATGAAAAAATAAATGAAATTATTTCATTATCTACTTCATAATGGAATTGTTATTCCATTTAAAATCCATTATTATTATTATTCATTTATTAATAGATTATTTATAACCACAAGAGGAATTTTGTGATAACACAGTATGCTTCCTCCTGCATAAATATAAGAAGTTGATTAACCCTATCGCTACAAGTTTTCCTATGATCAGTTGTCAAAGGGCATGTCACCACATTTGTAGACTTAAATTCAAAATTTTATTGAACTACTATTTTGTGAATGTAAGTCAGTAAGTTTGGTATCAAATTGCAGATTATAATTCAAATTTTAATATTATGTATTAGTTAATTTCTTAATTTAAAACAAATTCCTAAATATTGATTTTTGTGTGTCACGTGGTATGTTGAATGCAGCTCAAATTATCAATATTGACAAGCTAGAATATAGAATAAAAACTAACTATCCTATGGTTTTGTCTGCCTTTGTCAAGTGTTTATATGGGAAAATGCTCATTTTTCATGGTAGAATCGAAGCGGACAGGTAAGAGATAATGGGGGCCGGCATGGCCAGGTGGTTAAGGCACTCAACTCGCAATCTGAGGGTCGCGGGTTCGAATCCCCATCACACCAAACATGCTCGCCCTTTCAGCCATGGGGGCATTATAATGTGACGGTCAATCCCACTATTCGTTGGTAAAAGAGTAGCCCAAGAGTTGGCGGTGGGTGGTGATGACTAGCTGCCTTCCCTCTAGTCTTACACTGATAAATTACAAACGGCTAGTGCAGATAGCCCTCATGTAGCTTTGCGGGGAATTCAAAACAAACAAAGAAATAATGGAGTTCGAAATATCATATTTTTTAAACCCAAATACAGCTTAGCTACTGAGCCTGATAAATTATAGTGGAATTCTGTGGTAATATAGTAAATTATGATTTCTTGTTATTTTAAAATTCATTTAGAAAACCTAAAAAATTAATTTGTTTTACATCCTCCATGTGCAAAATCTGATAAGGCTTAGCAAATTATGGAAAGCGGCAAGTGAGTACAAACTTTGTAAGTAGAAGAGATCATTGTTTTCTATATTTCATTATTTACTGTTATGTGTTTTAAGAAAAATATCTGAAATTAAAGAACTTATTTGTAAATAGTAATAATATGTATACATATATGTAACGTATTATATCTCAAATGTGACTATATTTTACAAATACTGGTCCACTAGAACAAAGCCAAGATACATCACTTTGTAAAGGCCAGTTTTATACTGTTGGATATGGTAACATGAATGCATATGCACTGCTTAATTGCAACTTCTGTAATGTTAGTCAAACACAGCTGAAAGGTCAATAAAATAAAAATAATAAACATATATAGATGTATAATATTATGAGATTCAAGCTATTTAGCCTAAACATTTGTGGTTTTGTGTTATAATTTGTAGTCATTCTAGAATGAAATAAGTGTAATTTTATATATATTTCCTAATTTTTTTATGGTGGTTGCAAGGTCGGTCAAGTTGACCAAACCCATATAGAGATACAATAGTAAAAATAAGTGATAAAATATAAAGCTTTTTCTAAAAAAAGTTTGATAATTATTTGGAGGCTATAAAGATTTCTCATGTGAAATTTGACAATCTTCTGATGCATAAAAGTATTTTTAATCTGGAAATCAAAATTACTTTACATATTGGACAGTCAACATTCAAAAATAAAAAAATGCATGAGTAAATTATGACATAAAAAATCTTAAGACTTAATAAAACATATCTGATATTTTGTTTACAAAAGCCTTGTAATGTTTACTGATAATCTGCAAAATTTCATGAAGATATACATACTGTGTTTAATGTTGTAGCATGAAAACTATAACAAGCATGAAATGGTTATGAGGTTGGTCCCTGGGATCAAGCCCATAGTGAGAGTGTTAAACTGTTTACCATTTGGCTTAATTTAATACTAGAAAAATGACCACAACATATTCCAATATGATATCTTACCTGCATTCACAAATAGCTTTTCTCAACTTATACTGCCCTTTATACGTGTAAGTTTTCACTCACCAGTAGCCTTGATACTTCCACCTACCCTCCTGTGAGACATCTGCATGCTGTCATGCAAATGATTATGCAACAACCCTCTACCAATAGGAGTGGGACGCAACTCCTATCATAACTAGCACCCTCTCTTCCATGCAGCCCGTAATCACTTCTCAATCGACAGTCCTACTCATAGGTTGTGTTTTCGCTCATGCTTTCCTACTAATTATTTTTTTTGTACTTGTGTGGATTAATTGTGTAACTTTGTTTTTCATTTACCACTTCTTATTTTTTTTTGCTCAAGTTCCATGTGTTATTCCAAACACATTTTTTTCTGTCTTTCAAACCCTTTTTTTTTCTTTCGACTTTCCCTTAATTTTGACTTGCATTTGGAGCTAGAAAGGGCATTATGGCAGGCTTTTCTACTGAGGAAGTAACAGCTCTGTTAGAAGGGAGTTGGCTACTTTTTTGCAATCTTCTGAGTTCCCAGATAACTGTCCTCTACAACCATGTGAGAGCATGCTTGAACATGTGTATGAGACTTTTAACAACCTGTTCTCTCCTCCTGCCTATGCCTCACTGTCGCATTTTGTTTTGGGGAAGATGCCATTGCTTTCTCCTTTGCGACTTGATAATTCAGGTTTGTTATGTTTTATCCTTGTTTACCATTTCCTATTATTCCTCACCTGCCCCAAGGGGCCAGTATCTTGTGCTTCGACTTCTTCACCAGAAGTTTGGGTTCACACAAGTCATTTTAGGGACCAGTTACATTTGGGAGTCTGTATGATGTGACCCCCACATAATCTGGAAGACCATGCTTTGGCATATCACCGTTTGATGTTTCCTTACCTAGACTTGCACCATTTAAACTCGCTTGTTCCTTTAGGGATTCGATCCAAATACTTCAGTTACCTTCTCCCAGCCTCAGTTTTCCTGTTTTCCACCATAGCACACCTCTTCTTGTTCTCTCTTTCCTTGCTAATGTGGCTCCATTATTGGAAGCTGTTGAGGTCAGGATTCCCTTTTGTTACAAGTGTATTTGCCTCCCTTCTTATTGTGTAATTTGTGCCTGGCTCCTCTTTTTGTACCATGAGGTTTTTTGGGGGCATTCCCAACTCTGGAACCAGAGTTGAGTTTGAGTGGTTGCATACATTCCTTTCCTCATTGGCTTCCTGTTTATCCCAACACCCTCCTGTGTCTTGCCCACTTCCCTCTTCTCTCTTTCTAGTTCCAGCCTCTCATATTCCTGAGGTTTGCTGTCGGTACTTGTGACACTGTTCTGGGGCAACCAACAGTCTTGGAGACTACGTAGTGAGTTTGGGTCCTGTGGGGGCTGGGCCTCTCTGCTTTGCCCACATTTGGTGATCCTTCATCACAGACCCTTGAGTATTGCAGGTTGTCTTCAGGGGTCTGATCCTCCATTTCAATTTTCTTCCTCCATTGTCCCACCATCCTGTTTCCTTCCCTCCTCCTCGGGATCCAGTTTTCAGCTAACATCTTTCAGTGGTGGTACAGGACATACTTCACATGGTTGCCATCAAACTGGGAATTCCTCTCATCTGGTTTTTCTTCCCATCTGTTTTTCATCCTCAAGAAGACCAGAGACTGGCCCTTTCTCATCAATCTTTCAGCTCTAAACCACTTCTTGGTCCTGCCTCATTTCACCATTTAGTTGTACTTGTCTCTGATGGATTTTCACTCCTGATTTATGGAAGATGATAGTGAATGTTTTGGAGGTATACCTTCTCTTTCTCATCTCCCCTTTATCCTGATATTACTTTCATTTTGTCCATTGGGGTTGTGTTTTCCAGTTCAGGATCACCTCAGTTCCTTGTTTTTTATCAGGTGGTCAATGTGTTTGCCTGATTTCTTCATTCCCAGAGTCTTTGTTTTCACAATCACATGGGTGACTGGCTAATTCAAGCTCCCTTGCTGCTTGCCTCTGCTCTTCATACTCCTACATGAAGCTGCTTGGGTTGGTTGATTTCTGAGGAGGAGAAATCTTTCCTCACCTCCATGTTCATCTTGGGATATTGCTCTTTTCTCTCCTTAGTCAGGCCATCCTTCATTTGCAGGCTATGAAGCTACTAGTTCTCAACCTATCCTCCTCTCCTTCTCTCACTGTGTGAGAGGTTCTCTCTATTTTGGAGATATGGACTTCTCTGGAAGCCCTTATCTTTCTTGATTGTGCTCAAATGTATCGCCTTCAGTGGGCTTTGATAGACCAGTGGAACCTTATTCGGGATCCCTTGAACACCCTTGTCCTCCTTCCTTACAGACTGAGTTCAGCTGGTAGTGGATCAAGACCTCCACAACCATATGTGTTCCTCTTCCTCCTCCTTGTCTTGGACATCACCTCTTTACAGATGCCTCTCTTTCTAGTTGGGGTGCCTACCTACAAGCTCCAGAGGTCTTGGGGCAGTAGACTCTATCTGAGTCATCTCTCCATATCAATCTCTTGAAGCTCATTATAGTTCGTTGGTCATCAGTTCACTTACTTCCACTTCTTCAGGGCCAGTCAGTGATAATTCATTCGACCACTTGACTGTGGTCTCGTCCATCTCCAGGCAAGGAGGCACTCAGTCACAAGACCTCTGTTTTCAGACACTAGACCTCCTGTATTGGGCCCTTGTCCATCATATTCATTTGATGGCTTGTCATGTTCTGATTGGCCTGAATCTAGTAGCAGATTGCTTATCTTGTCCCAACATGGTTTTCATATCATTGGTTTATACATTGTGGTTATCCTTTATTCTCATCCTACTCTTCTCCACATTACTTCCTTTCATACCTGGGCCTTTTGGTCTCCTCCATCATGGGCTATTGCACTGCCATGTCAATCACAGTTCGTTTTACACAATATGCTTGTGTCTTTCATTTGCCTGTCCTTTCCCTTTTGTTTCTTTCACTCTGCATCACCCTCCCTCTCTCCCGGACTGGAACCTCAATGTAGTCCTCCATGCCCTTACCCTTCCTCTGTTCGAACCTTTGTCAACCTGTTCCTTCTATCCTTGAAGATCCTTTTTCTCCTCCTGTTGGTGTGCAGGTATCATCAATCAGATGTGTTTGTTATTGATGTCTGCAGCACCTTATTTCACAGTTGATATGTGTTCCTTTTCCCCGATCGTTCTTTCCTGCCCAAAACTTTGGCAACTTGGGAGGGTAATTCTACCTTCACACCAATCTCCCTTCCATATGACACTTTTATGACCATTCCAACCCTGCTCGCCTCCTCTGCCCATCCGGGGTCTCTGCTGTTACATGGTGCACACTGCTTTCTTTGGTTGTTCCTGCTTCCATTTGTTTATTCCTTGGAACCCTTCCAAATACCATGATATTTCTCTTATTACCCTTATGGGTTGGATTCCTGTGGCTTATTCTTCCCTTTCATCAGATAATTCTCATCTTTTCTGTGTCTCTTCACATCAAATCTGTCACCTTACCATGTCCCTGGCTGCTCATTTCTGTCATCCTTTGGAGGACATCATTCATGCTGGTATGTGAACCACTATATGTATCTTTGCTGCTTGTTATTTTCACCACCTGACCATTTCCTGTTCTATGGGATTTTGTCTTCCGTCTCCATTTTGTGCACCATGATTTCTTAAGAAGTGGGTAAGTGCTCCATTTTTATATATTTTCTTTGCAGTGGACCTTTTTTGCATCTCATGATCCTGCTTTGTTGCAAGTTTTGCCTGACCAAGTACACTTATTCTTAAATCTGCACTGTAAGATCTGTGTGTGAAATACACCCACTGGTGAGATGAGGTGTTCTGCAAGACTGTTTGTAGGTATTTCTTGTGGTATTTTGCTTCATAGAAATGATTGCTGCCCATCCCTGATAATCCGTGTCACTGGATCAGTCTGCATTTCAAAATAAGGTGTCACAGTCACCCATTGCACTTTCTCTGGTGCAACATTCCTCCAGACTCTTCATTGTGCTGTTTCATCCCTTGTTTTAGTGAAGTATGGGAGTCCTTGTCACTTACCTGTTTCTAGCCACTGGGGTGGTAGATCATGAAGGCTTCCTCCTGAGTGTGCTCACTCCAACTCAGTTAAGACTAGGGTGATGGTGTTCTGCTGATGTAAGGAGCTTTGACTCTTATCCTACCACAAACCTGATGTAAAATTCCAAGTGATGGTTAGAGCTGTACCAGCCACATACATTTTCATGTGTGTGGCCAGATACTCTCATCCTACCATGGACAGAATAATAAATTCCCAATGCTGCCTGGTGTTGGTCTGTAGATGAACCTCAATTTGCTGTCCATTTTTTTACCGTCTCCTGTGTGTTGGTTCCTGGCAGATATGGTAATGGTTGTGTTGGATGTTGTAGGTCCTTGGTACAGAGGCTCCTCTTCCCTAACAGTTCCCATATCTGAGGTGAAATGTAGAAGACCCTCTTCCTACCGTGGGCCAGATATCTCTATCACTGTTTGACTGATGTTGGTTAAGGTGGATCTCCCACTTACAGTCCAATGTGCCCTAGCCACTCCACACCAGGGGTCCCTTAATTTCATTTATTTAACTTATTTGTGTCCTTCCTTTAATTCCACCCTTATTCCAACACATTTTCACATGGGAGAAGAGTATACCTGGCTCAGACATGGTGTGGTTTCCCACCAGTTTGTTGCTTTCCCTTTATTTGCACATCCCATGGTCTTCCTTTGGGTATTTTCTAAAGGGAGATCATCTTTCACTTGCACAGAAGAGAAGGCACTAGTTACAATAGGAGTTGTGTTGCACTCCTATTGGTGGAGGGTTGCTGCAAGATTATTTGCATGATAGCATGCAGATGTCTCATAAGGTAAATATCTATCAGAAATACATTTTCAGTGTAGGAAAATTTTAACTTTTGCTCTATCTCTACCAACTTGGATGCCTAAAAAACTGGTGAAATTATCAATTTGATATGAAAACTGACAGTGCTTCTTTAAATCTTGGTGTGATTCCAAACAGCAATACCCTAAAATTGCATGTATAGCTGAAGATCTAGATGCTGCACCTGCATCCTAAGCCAATGTAGAGAGAACATTCTAGATTTGTAGAGAACTGACAAAAGGCAAATGCAACATAACTAGTATCACTCTGGAGAGTTAAGTTTTCCTAAGAATAAATTTAAAATTAATCTGAACTTGTGTTATATCATATATTTATTTATGGAATTAAAATACCTCATGACAAGATAAAGCCCTAATAGAGAGAGAGAGAGAGGGTTATCTGAATATGGAGTGGTAATGTGAGTGTACAGAAAATTTACATCTTAGTGAGTTTTTGTTTCAATATATTTATATTCGTAGAGCATTTTCTACTGAAATCAAAAATATGTATTTAAGGGATTGTTAAATTAGCATCATTTAAGAAAACTGGTCTGTAGCAGCATTTTCTTTTTCCATTTAGGACTGAAAACAAAGCATTAATTGTTTGACACTACGTATAATAACATTTTGTTTTAAAAATTACATGCTTTATCAGTAATAATTTATCAAATTAATTCTAGAAAAGATTTGAAGGAACTCGTGTGACTATTGAAACATTTCTTTCATGGAAAGCTAAGTTTGACCTGGAAAGAGCCTCATTGTCTAAGCAACAAAAAGCAAAAGAAGATGCAACAAAAAAATTTACAGGTAATTTACATTTTAAACAAGAAAAACATCAGTTAATTTTCTCTTGGTATTTCTTGTATTTTTGAAACATTAAAATAAAGTAAAAATAATTTTATTGTTAAAGTATCAAACTGGCAATAAATATATAGTAATGTATTGACATTCATAAGTTGTGTTGACAAGTCACATTTATATTATCTGAGATTTATTTTACTTTCCCTTATGAGAACAAAATGGCATATTCACTTGAGTATCATTTGATATTAAGTGTGTACTTAGTACAAAAATATATTAACCAGTATAAAAGTACAACAGAAGATTGTTACGGAACCAGTAAAAGTGTTAGTATTAGTCTAAGTACAATAACTACTGCATTTTTAACTTTAAAATAATGTATTTTAGGTTTGAAAAAGCATTCTCATTATAATCAGGTTGTTTTATTAAGGGCTAAATAATTAAAACAGTGAAACAGTATATTCTTTAAAATATATGATAATGAGAGTTATCTCTTAATATTTAAATCTTATCATTACCACCTAAAACTAAAGCTGGGCAGATAACCGGTATAATTTATTACCTATGAGCATTGATTATATCAATTAATGATGTTTAAAATAAGCAGTTTGTCTAAATTATGATTAAATTTATTTATGACATGAAAATAATCAATTAATTGAAAGTAGTATTTACAACTATTGTAACTAATCGAGTAATCAAAATATTGTCATTATAATTTCAGATTATTAGTTTTAATTAATTTGTGTTTTTTCAGCTTAACCTTATGCATACAGTAGGGTCAGAGTGCACATGTTACAACATTTTTATAGGTACATTCAAAGTTTAATTAAACTATTATATTATCAATATATGTCAATAAACTTGGCATTAAAACTACCTTATATTTCAGAGTTTTATATTATTTAAATTATAATTCCTTAACTTCAAAAGAAAATATTTTAAATTCTCATTCTGTGTTCAATGTCACTTGACACTCTGTGATCACAATTGCCATTTAGTTTCTTTATATTTTTCTATGAGTTTCTGTTTATTCAGCTAATGAAACCATGTACTATAAATATTGGCAAGCCAGAAACCCCAATCTCTTTGCTATACTAGATATCATTATTTTTGTAACTCCCACATGACATGCTTTCCTATTTTTTTTTGTCTTTTAGGATGTCTATAATTTTTTCTCATGGGGGGGGGGGTCGAAGGTCTTGGTTTGATTTCCACCAACAATGCTTGCCCTTTCAGTCATGGGAACATTATATCGTTTTTCAGTTGTAGTAAACTACTAAAGCTATCTACCAGTGTCCCTAAGTTTTTAGCTGCAAATTAGAAGGAAAGCAACTGGCTGGCAGCACACACCAGCAACTCTTGGACTCCTTTAGTATTAAATAAAGTTGTGAATATACTGTTTAATTTTATTTTTCTAATTTATAATTGTAGTCTTTAAAGCTGTATAAAGTGCAGCATCACTGTTTTTATGTAGTATTGCTTTGTAATTTGTAACTTACATAAATCTATTCTTTGGTGTTATAAATTTATTATAACTATAAGTTAATTTTTTTTATATTGTATGTATGTTACTGTCCTGGGTATGATTTTAAATAGCATTCAATACTAGTACATTCAACTGTCAGAATAACAATGAGACAAGTGCTGTCTAGCTGGTGTAGTCTCTGGGTTGCCCTTAGACAAGGCATAGCACCCATTAGCTTCCCTTACCAGGGTTATAGTTGAAGGGGGTGCAGGATGATGGATCATGCTGTCTGATGCAACTGGGACAACGATAGAGGGAACTTGGTCAAGTTAAATTAGCACTGCAATCTGCAGCAAGAAATGGCAACCTACTGCAGTATTTTGCCAAACATAATATATGGTATTTCATGAGTCAAGGAAAACCACAACAGCATGAAGGGATCCCTGATAGAAATGGGGAGGACACCTTGCCCAGTATGGAGAGTCGTGTGTGACAGGTGACTTCTAACTGTCAGCACGCTACTGTCCATACCCAGAAGAGAGCAGTTGAAAGAGCAGCAAGGAATGTGAGGACTCTACACTATATTGGAAAACTGTTTAACGTCAAATATAAGGTGAAGATATTAAAGTTCAGTATTCTAGATCTGTGTGAAACCTGTTGGAAAGATGTTGGAACTATTGTTTTAGGAGGTCAGATGCATGAAAGAGGACTTTGGATGAAGAAACCTCAAAGTGTTTGCATGGATTTTGAGCAATATCTGCTTGTGAAATTAAAGGCTAAACCTTTTGACTTTGTAATAATACAAGCCTATGCATTAAAAGTTGAACATGAGGAAGAGGACAGTGGTCATTTTTCTTAAGACTTTGATAAAGTAAAAAACTATGCAAACCTCAAGAAGTGGCAAAAGTAATGGGAGATCTGAAAGCAAAATTTGGTTGTGGCCAAGTGGATAATATTGTTGGACCATGTGAAATTGGAAAGAAAAATGAAAGAGAAGAGAAATGGATTGATTGGTGTGCCATACATGATCAAGTCATTACAAGCAAATGGTTTGAGCACTACTCAAGAAGGGAAAGTCCTAGAGTTAATGTTAGAAACCAAATTGATTACATCACCATCAATAGAAGATTTGAGAATGCAGTACCACAATCAAAAACTTATCCAGGGGCTTACTGTGGGAGCAACCATGTCCCAGTAGTATGCACCATCAAGATTGAGGAAACTTAAGAAGCCAAAAGCAACAAAGGAGCTCAAGTATACATCTCTAATGGAAAAAGATCTCATTAAAGAAAGCTATACAGTTGCAGTTAAAAACTGTTTTCAAGAACTTAAAAATGAAGAAAATATGTCAAAATGGGAAATTTTTAAAGAAATTCTAGTTGAAACAGCCAAGGAGGTTATTCCATTAAAATTAAGGCAAAGGAAACAGAAATAGATGACGGAGGAAATCCTTGAGCTCATGGAAATAGAAGGGAGATTAAAACCTGTAGTATGGAAGAATATAAAATACTTGAAAAAAGAATTTAATCAATGCACAATGAAGAAAAGGAAAATTGACATAATGAAAAATGTATAGAAATAGAAAACAAAATGATAAACATGTTACATCAATGTATAAGAATAAGGTAAAGGAGGATGCACTGCTAGTCGAACTATAAAAGTTAAGAATGGTGATATATTTATGGAACAAGATAAGTATTGAAAAGATGGACAGTCATGAAGTAAAGCCAACTATTAAGAAGAATGTGGATGGATTGAAAATTCTTAAGTCAGAAGTGGGAACAGTTATCAACAGAATGAAAACCAATAAAGCTACAGGACCAGATGAAATTACAGTAAAACAAATAAAATATTTGGTAGAATTCAGTATAGAAAAGTTAACAACTATTCTTAATGAGATTTATGAAACTGATGGAATACCTGAGGGACTCATTAAATTAATCTTTATTGCACTTCCCAAAAGATCTGGAGCCATTGCATTAGAATGATGGACAATATAGCTAAGTATGGAAAAGTGAATTGAAGCAATTGAGTTGTAGTTCTTAAGGTGCATCTTGAAGGTATGTTGACGAAGTCGCACCTCAAATGAAGATATTTTGTCAAGAGCAGGTTGCAGGGGGAATCTACTGACTAACATCAGAAAGTTTCTCAGACACCTTATGAGGTAAGAAGAAATTGAAGTCTGGTCATAACTGGAAAGATTGGAGGAAGGAGGTATCATGGAAGACAGAGGTTGACATATGTCAAGAGTCTATTTAAATGAATGAATGTACTGACATTGTAAATTATTTTTTTCTTCAGGAGAAGAATGTCACCAATGTCTTGCATGGATATTGTAGATAGATAGAGAAATATTTATGTTATGGAGGATGTTGTAACAGCATTGGTATGTTTCACACCTGCAGTTGCAGGTGTGAAACATATGGGGTAAATGTTCTCTTTGACATTTGCAAGTATCAATCATTTTCTTAAGGTAACAAAAAACACAACCTGTGAAATTTCTTCCATCTTGTACTTTATATTGTATAGAATAATATAAAAACATACTCCATTTTCTATTTATTATGTATAAATAAGATGCATTTGCAGTACAGCATTCATAAGGCCTAGGAAAAGAAAATTATACTTGCAGTTTCTCAACCAACTCTGAAAAAAAAGATCCTGACCCTACAAGTTGTACTTCTTCCAAAAAATATTCAGAGTTGTACATAATGTAACCATATGTTTATTGATTGACAAGGTTTTCATGCCCATTATTTTTTGTGGGTAAGTTTCATAATGAACCTGTTAGCAATACATAAGTTTGAAATTATGTCAGGGAAAACATTGCCATTATAATATATTAAAACATACTTGTGTTGTTGTTGTTCTATGATTATTGTACTAATTTTTTCTAGTTAGCCTTTTTTAAATAAATTTCACATTTTTGTTTTCCCAAGACAGAATTTGAAACTCTTCTTTTTTCTTTTTTTACAACAATGATAGTTTTAGTTTATTGGTGACAACTATACCAGTATCCATTTTTGAGCAATATTTTCTCAAAGTATTGATCTCCAACAACACTATCCAAATATTTAATGTGTGATGATCTACATACTGATAAGCATAGTAGCACTTAACTCATTATGTTTGGCAATGTGTCTCCAACTTGATGCCATTGTTAAGTAATAAGCTTCCTCATTCAAAGACGTAGTGAGTTTAATGGGCTTCTCATACCCATGCTTTCCTGTATTGTGACTAAAGTGTTCTGTTGCTCATTTCAAACTTCTTGTAAATAACCAAATACTTTCTTTGTAGTTGTGCAATTATTGATCTGTTCAGTGGAAAAGTTCAATTGTAACATTATTAAAACAAACTTTTAAAATGCACAAGGTTTTGGACAGATAATGAAATATTTGGAATTATTATGTTATTTATGAAAATTTGGAAAACTATAGCTTATTTTCTTTTACAGATAGTATTAATTTATGAAAATTTGTTCATTGTTACATTATTCTATGCTTGATCACCTAAGTGTAGTTGTGTGTACATTTTGTTA